AGGGAAGTTCCTCAAAGAGAGATGACGATCAAGACTTTTTGAGTTCCACTTTTTTCTGGTCTGACATGTTTATTTCAGTTTTTGTAGTTTTTTTTTTTTTTTTCTTACTCTAAATAAAATACAACAAAAATAGGTTCTTGGATAATTAGTATCTTTGAATAGAACAGACATTAAGAAACTACATTTTTTCCCCCATTTGGATCTCAAAGAATTTGTCTGAACCTGCACCTCAGTTCTGCTAAACTAAAATAAATAACCATCAAATTACAAGCAGTTGGATGTTGGTTTATAAACAGAATACGGTGAGAGTTAATGCACTTCATAAGCAGTAAAAAAAGAAAAAGGTTTACAGATTTGACATGCTGATAATTATCTATTGGTACTTATTCAAGCTCTGGAACATTTTCCACACAATGTGTTGATTATATCAGCAATACATATGTGATGTTGTCCTAAACCTATGTTTGATGGAAGGTTAGGCATCATCATCAGATGAAGATCTGTAAAGGCTTGCATGATAGACTGTGTTTGGCCTTCCCTCTATCCTAAACTTCGGTTTCCCACGATGCACATCTCAAATCGTCCCAAGTTTGATCGTGTTAGTCATTCATTATTATTGCTACCATGTCATCTGCACCAACGCATATTTACTACGACTCTTAGATGCATATTAAATGACGTCATTTAAATATTCTCAAAACTATGACAGAATGCGTCAGTGGCACACACTTAGGACAAAATGTTTCTAAGCAGTTCTATTGGACGAGACTCTCTCTGCTGTGCTAATCAGGCAGATTTCTAAAAATTTTAATATAAGACAAGATAAATCACTGGACCCGCTTTTGCCTGCGCTCAACATGCCTGCACACGTGCTGGCTGGGTTGAATGTGTGAGAATGAGTGTCTCCGTGTGAATATTGATGAGTGTGTGACTAACGCTGAGACAGAAAGAGAAAAAAAAAAGCTCCTGCATGCACAGACAGGGGAACTGCATGTCAAGGCCTCAAACGTGCGTGTGTGTGTGTTTGTCTACTCACGGTCCATGTGGCGGACTTGGCGGTGCTGGACTGCTGGAAGGACACCTGGAAGGCGTGCGGCCCTGGGTAGTCGGTGTTGGAGGGGATTGCCGGGGTAGGGGACAGGCCCTCGAAGGTGGAGTTGGGCTGGGAGTAAGGCGAAGGGGTGGGCACGGCCGACGAAGACGTGTTCTCGGAGCTGTAGGGGCTGGCGGACGTGGCGCGGCTCCCCAGGCTCTCCATGCTGCTGCTCAGCAAGTTGTACTGGGACTGGGGGGAGAAGCCAAGAGGGAAGAGAAGCAAACAGGTGAAAAAGGGAGGGAGCAGGAAGGCAGAGGGAGGACACAGCTAGAGGTGCGAGAGAGACAGAGGTTTTGGAAGCTTAAGGGAGGTCGGGTTACAGGAGAAGAGGGATATCTGTGTGTGCACTGTGTGTGATGCTGCATGTGTAGGTGTCCCACATCTGCATTTTTTGGTGAAATGAACACATCATAACACTCAAAGTTGCGTACAATTTAAGGGCGGTCGTACAGAGGTCCTTGTGGCTATGTGATGCATGTTGTACAACACAGACATGACAAGGTTTGCCAAAGTGCATGCCATTTCCCATTTTTTTCTCTCCAGAGTGTTTGTGAAGAGCGATGATGTGCTGTACGTAAAAATAAGTGTTAATGACTTTATTTTAGGGCCAAACTTGGCTGTTCGTAAACTACTTTAGGGTTTTCTGTCGTAGTATGTCCACAAAACGCACACAAAATAATAATTTTTAAAAAATCATAATCTACATAAACAAGTTCACCCGTTCACTTTGCACAATGATCATCAACAGTAATTTTCTTGATGTATCTTCAATCCATACAATTAAGTGAAAGTAATAGTAAAAATAATCTAGATTTTAAAAACAAAACAGATTTTTTTTGTTTTGTTTTTGATTTAGACACGTCAAGAAACTGCACTAGAAAAATTAACTACCAGCCAAAGAAAATTTAAAGAAAAAATTTTTTACCTTCTTTTTCACGTAGTACATCCTCTAGAGCATTGGTCTCATTTATCAAATCTTCCGCCAGTCAAACGTCCAAACACAACAGAGCACCGCAGAGTGCAGGAGCATAGCCTATAACCTCAGACCTCAAGCAAGGTGTGCATCAGTGGACATGTTCTACCGCACACTCAAGGCACATGTGCTGCCAGGACAAGGGGGAAAAAAAAGGTGAGGACTGGTGTGGAGAGAGAGGAATGATACACTGAGATGAGGGGAGAGAAGCGGAGAAGGAAAAGAGGGATGGGAACCCAAAAAATGGTACGACATTCTAATTATGGCATGCCCGGACATAGACGGCAATGCCGGGGCGCATGTACACACTTGCTCCGAAACACCTTGTAAAGGCCTACTCTAAGTCAACACTGTCTGGTCTGACATCGAGAGCAAGATGCAGGGTGTGTGAGTGAGAAGAGAGGGAGAGAGACAGAGAGAGAGAGGGGAAAGAAGAAGAAAAAAACACAAAAGAACACAAGTTCAAAGGTCAGAACCCCCACCGTCCTGCACCGCAGATCAATCTCTCTCTAAATGAGAATCTGAATTGACTGTATTGGTGAGGTTTGTGTGCGCAAACAAGGAATTTGACTTTCTGGTTTGTGCACGCAAACCTGACCAATACAGTCAGTAACACGGTCAGGTGGTCAGCACTCTCAGAAGCTGAAACATCCAACGACTTTGCAAGCTTGTTAAAATAATGTTATATGTTTCACATAAATTGGAAAGNCTGGACTTCCTTAGGTTGACATCTTTGTGCCAACTGGCACCGCAAACTAAATTTGACTGCATAACGAATAACGTACGCGGATAAAGTTGAACCTGATGATTGGGTTCTATTAAATTGATTCAATACTTTCTTTTTATGAATTAAACTTTGCAAAGTTTTTTAAGAAGACATTTGTTGTGAACTTTAATGAATAATTAAAGCTGAATTGAAGCAAACTGAATCGAACCTAATAGCAAACGAACCATCTTTGATTCGCTCATGGAGACGTTTTGGGAATTTGATCCGTTTTAGGCACGTGCACAAAACGCGGTGTAAAGCCGGGGTCAGCAACCTTTACAAGAGGTTAATGTTTACTGCAGAAGTTTAAAAATAATTTGGCTCAAGATGTGTAAAATATCAAACGAGTCTATTGAACTTTGTGAGAATTCAAACTGTAGGATTTGTTTTATTATTCAAAGTAATCTGTGTAGTTTAGTAGGTTGGTAAGCACACCAGCAGTGTAAGGATCTTAAGCCTGTTTAATTCAAATCTTCTTAAAATAGTTGATAGAAATTATTCTTTATCATTTCTGTCAAGTATAAGATGAAAACACCAAATTTTAAAAGCAAACAGAGGGATCTGGTTTTGGCTCATTGCATTATTTTTCTCCAGTTCATTATTATTATTTTTATTATTCTGTTGTTTTTTGGGTTATGTGAATGCAATGTGGCTGAGAGATTTAAAGGAGACAAAGAGGGGACAGGGAGACAGAATTGATCAGAGGATAGAAAGGAAAACTTCTGGGCGCCAGAGGTGACAGCCATGAGTGCGTGCTAAAACGAGGAAGAAGGAAAAGACAGAGAAAGAAAAGTGGCGGGTCAAAGACCACCGCTCTAATGTCCGAGGCAGGATCTTCTTACATCACCGAGGACAGACTGAAGGAGTCCATCACGCATGGTTACTCCAAGCAAACACACAGCCCCCGAGGACTTCAGCCTCACACACAGAGTGAGGGGAGAGCGGTTTGTCTCTTGTTTCAGGGAGGTCAACTGTGTGACAGTCGGAGGTGACACCTTTCCAGCGAGAGGTTTCTCATTGGTTTGATGACAAATAACGCAGCTCCCATTTCACCTGTCTTTCACCACTGTCACATCACCTTATACTCCTTTATGCTTCTAATGTAAATATCCTCGGTTTGGTTTCTGTCAGGGAAGTTCCTCAAAGAGAGATGACGATCAAGACTTTTTGAGTTCCACTTTTTTCTGGTCTGACATGTTTATTTCAGTTTTTGTAGTTTTTTTTTTTTTTTTCTTACTCTAAATAAAATACAACAAAAATAGGTTCTTGGATAATTAGTATCTTTGAATAGAACAGACATTAAGAAACTACATTTTTTCCCCCATTTGGATCTCAAAGAATTTGTCTGAACCTGCACCTCAGTTCTGCTAAACTAAAATAAATAACCATCAAATTACAAGCAGTTGGATGTTGGTTTATAAACAGAATACGGTGAGAGTTAATGCACTTCATAAGCAGTAAAAAAAGAAAAAGGTTTACAGATTTGACATGCTGATAATTATCTATTGGTACTTATTCAAGCTCTGGAACATTTTCCACACAATGTGTTGATTATATCAGCAATACATATGTGATGTTGTCCTAAACCTATGTTTGATGGAAGGTTAGGCATCATCATCAGATGAAGATCTGTAAAGGCTTGCATGATAGACTGTGTTTGGCCTTCCCTCTATCCTAAACTTCGGTTTCCCACGATGCACATCTCAAATCGTCCCAAGTTTGATCGTGTTAGTCATTCATTATTATTGCTACCATGTCATCTGCACCAACGCATATTTACTACGACTCTTAGATGCATATTAAATGACGTCATTTAAATATTCTCAAAACTATGACAGAATGCGTCAGTGGCACACACTTAGGACAAAATGTTTCTAAGCAGTTCTATTGGACGAGACTCTCTCTGCTGTGCTAATCAGGCAGATTTCTAAAAATTTTAATATAAGACAAGATAAATCACTGGACCCGCTTTTGCCTGCGCTCAACATGCCTGCACACGTGCTGGCTGGGTTGAATGTGTGAGAATGAGTGTCTCCGTGTGAATATTGATGAGTGTGTGACTAACGCTGAGACAGAAAGAGAAAAAAAAAAGCTCCTGCATGCACAGACAGGGGAACTGCATGTCAAGGCCTCAAACGTGCGTGTGTGTGTGTTTGTCTACTCACGGTCCATGTGGCGGACTTGGCGGTGCTGGACTGCTGGAAGGACACCTGGAAGGCGTGCGGCCCTGGGTAGTCGGTGTTGGAGGGGATTGCCGGGGTAGGGGACAGGCCCTCGAAGGTGGAGTTGGGCTGGGAGTAAGGCGAAGGGGTGGGCACGGCCGACGAAGACGTGTTCTCGGAGCTGTAGGGGCTGGCGGACGTGGCGCGGCTCCCCAGGCTCTCCATGCTGCTGCTCAGCAAGTTGTACTGGGACTGGGGGGAGAAGCCAAGAGGGAAGAGAAGCAAACAGGTGAAAAAGGGAGGGAGCAGGAAGGCAGAGGGAGGACACAGCTAGAGGTGCGAGAGAGACAGAGGTTTTGGAAGCTTAAGGGAGGTCGGGTTACAGGAGAAGAGGGATATCTGTGTGTGCACTGTGTGTGATGCTGCATGTGTAGGTGTCCCACATCTGCATTTTTTGGTGAAATGAACACATCATAACACTCAAAGTTGCGTACAATTTAAGGGCGGTCGTACAGAGGTCCTTGTGGCTATGTGATGCATGTTGTACAACACAGACATGACAAGGTTTGCCAAAGTGCATGCCATTTCCCATTTTTTTCTCTCCAGAGTGTTTGTGAAGAGCGATGATGTGCTGTACGTAAAAATAAGTGTTAATGACTTTATTTTAGGGCCAAACTTGGCTGTTCGTAAACTACTTTAGGGTTTTCTGTCGTAGTATGTCCACAAAACGCACACAAAATAATAATTTTTAAAAAATCATAATCTACATAAACAAGTTCACCCGTTCACTTTGCACAATGATCATCAACAGTAATTTTCTTGATGTATCTTCAATCCATACAATTAAGTGAAAGTAATAGTAAAAATAATCTAGATTTTAAAAACAAAACAGATTTTTTTTGTTTTGTTTTTGATTTAGACACGTCAAGAAACTGCACTAGAAAAATTAACTACCAGCCAAAGAAAATTTAAAGAAAAAATTTTTTACCTTCTTTTTCACGTAGTACATCCTCTAGAGCATTGGTCTCATTTATCAAATCTTCCGCCAGTCAAACGTCCAAACACAACAGAGCACCGCAGAGTGCAGGAGCATAGCCTATAACCTCAGACCTCAAGCAAGGTGTGCATCAGTGGACATGTTCTACCGCACACTCAAGGCACATGTGCTGCCAGGACAAGGGGGAAAAAAAAGGTGAGGACTGGTGTGGAGAGAGAGGAATGATACACTGAGATGAGGGGAGAGAAGCGGAGAAGGAAAAGAGGGATGGGAACCCAAAAAATGGTACGACATTCTAATTATGGCATGCCCGGACATAGACGGCAATGCCGGGGCGCATGTACACACTTGCTCCGAAACACCTTGTAAAGGCCTACTCTAAGTCAACACTGTCTGGTCTGACATCGAGAGCAAGATGCAGGGTGTGTGAGTGAGAAGAGAGGGAGAGAGACAGAGAGAGAGAGGGGAAAGAAGAAGAAAAAAACACAAAAGAACACAAGTTCAAAGGTCAGAACCCCCACCGTCCTGCACCGCAGATCAATCTCTCTCTAAATGAGAATCTGAATTGACTGTATTGGTGAGGTTTGTGTGCGCAAACAAGGAATTTGACTTTCTGGTTTGTGCACGCAAACCTGACCAATACAGTCAGTAACACGGTCAGGTGGTCAGCACTCTCAGAAGCTGAAACATCCAACGACTTTGCAAGCTTGTTAAAATAATGTTATATGTTTCACATAAATTGGAAAGTAGACAAAAGTTTAGGTAGCTAGCCTGTGCTACAAAAATAAGCTTGCCAAATCTTGCCTTAAGAATTATTATGCTAACTGCAAGAGCCAATAAAATGAGTTGTTAAAGTCAATAGTACTTGATTATGATTACTGGATTCTGATGTTTCATTTTAAGTTTTATACAGACTCAGAAGCATTGCACGTCCTGCTTAATGCACTCATATGTCATGTGCAGTGCATTGAAAAAGTTTAATGTCCCGTGAACTATTCTTAAATACACATTCATCCCCCGCCTGAGTCAATGCAGCACATAGTTCTGGTTGTGGAAGAACCAATGCTCTAAAGCTGCTCAGAAAACTGCAAGAAAACCCACTTGCAATAGCCTAATCTAAGTACAAAGTTAAATTCAGAATCTATGAGAAGAATTTCAAACTACTGTTTGTACTCAAACTCCACCCAATCTTTCTTAGATTGAGCCAATTTGCAAAGAAGAATGGCCGAAGAATTGAGAGTCTAGATGGTGGTGAAATCCTATAAAATACGTGGAGCTGTACTTGGAGCGGAACGTGGCTCTGCTCAATATTTACTCAGAGGGACTGCATCCAAATACACAGCATAGTTATTGGATTTTTTTATTTGTGAAAATTTTAAAATCATCAAACATCTCATTTCTAGATTGCTCTCACACACATAAGAAATCCAACTTAATTAAATTTAAGTGTAAGGTTATAATGTGACAAAGCAAAATATTGTTTCTCCCCTTTTTCCTTCCTTTATCTTCTTCTTCCTTCAAAAACAATCAAATACTACACACTCGCTGATAAAACTATTTAAGGTGCCATAAAGGAGGCAGATGGGACAATTGACAACTACTTTCTCTCACATGTTGTGACTTTAAGTGAGCTAAAGAAAGACTGTATGTTCCTTTCTAGACATCATTGATTAACCAAACACGGTAAGCTATCGTTAACACGTTTTCAAAACAAACAAACAAAAAAAGAAAAACCAGGACTTTTCCATTACATTTTCCCTTTGTAAGATACACATATTTCAAACTTTGACTCAATGTTCCAGATCCATTCACCTTGGAAAATCCTATTGTGATCTTGATCTATAGGAACCCACAAATAATAATCCCCCGTCTTATCATTCTATCAGGAAGCGAAAGTCAGTCAATGTTCAAAACTAAATACAAACTATTATTAATTCGCCAAAGTGTTGCTGCTTGGATCCATACATCGGCACACTGAATCATAGGTATGTGCAGTACAGATAAAGTCAGATTCTTAGAAAAATAATGACAAACACTGCAATTGAGAAACACAGCCTGCATTTGCAGAGATAAAAATTTTGCTTGCTCGCACGTCCATCTAAAACATATGGCAATTAGCATTTATACTGATGTTTGCCTTTCTTATAAATGGGATGAAGAAAGTAATTGCGATGTCCCCCTAATGTCTGTTTACAACCTAGCTCTATTATTAAAGAAGCTTTCTGGGCACAAAAGAGGTCCAGGTGTATGTGTCAACAGCACAAAAAAAAAAAAAAGTATTTCACACACTCACACACACACACGGACACATACATACACTCCCAGGTGCGCTCTGTGTTAATACCTGAACTGAATTCACAACAAGTTGAAACAAGAGCTAAAGCCTTCCCTGCAATTGTGTGAGCAAATGTGTGTGTGTTCACGTGTGTGTGTGTACCTGATTCCCATCCCAGCAGCATCATGTGACCTTCCCTATGGGCAGTTATCCTGGCTGCTGCCACTCAAAGCCAAGCTTAAAGGCTCAAAACACTAAGAGACGAGGATAAGCCTGCTGCAGCTACCTTCACTTGTCACAGTGAATGAAACACAAAAGGTCCAGGATAAAATGACTATTACCCATTTTTACAGCCACTTATTATATCAAACCTTGTAATGATATAAAACACCATGGCCACTTAACATTGTTTTATCACACCTATTGGAAGGAGGTTGGGGGAAAAAAAAGAAAGCTTAGCTGCACAAATGAACAAAATGGTCACATATAAAAACTACCTATACATGTTTAACTTTCCCGATGGAAACACATGGCATACAGATGCGAGGATAAAGGGAGGTCAATGCAGAAGTGTGTGCATCAAGGTTTCCCCCTGCTGGATATATGAGGCAAAATGCAAAACCGAGACTTCAAATCTCAAAGTGCTGTAACTTCATGTAAAACAAGTAAAATGTGATATCTAATTAGGGCCATTATGGATGCAAGGAAAGAATTAAGAGTCTTCTGTTACTGCCCATCTGCTTTAAGGTTTACAGTAATGGTTTTTGGCATATCTTGGTTCTTCTAATAAATGCTATTTTAAGATACTGTTGTCTTTCAGTCATTTCAAACCAATCTGTACATTCTCCTCTGACATCAACGAGGCGATTAATGTTTTTTTTATTTTTCTGGTCATTTTCTCTAAATCACAACTAATGCTCTGAAAATCAAAGATATACTGAAAATCTGCAGTGGGTCAGCCGTTTCTGAAACATGCAGATATCTACTCCAACAATAATGCCACATACTAAGCAACTTAACTTAACGTATTTGATCCGCAAATACGATCCCCAGTTTGAATTTCAAGTGATTCTGTTCAGTAAGTCTCGATCCCTAGATACGCTGATTTGTAGAAATCTGATTTTAAAAAATGAAAAGATTTTACTAATAAACTGACAGGTAAATAGGTAGAAACCAAGAAAATAAGAGGCGGTCAGATTTACTGCCTCCTGCTGTTTCTCTTGCTCAGGTAAACTCCCCCTCATAGGGGAAACATGGAGAAACATGGAGTAGGCGGGTCCAAACTGTACCAACCTACCTCTTAATATGGTTCTCATAATTTTATCTGGTTACCATAAACTGAAGCAAAGCAAAAGAAACTTTACTGTTATCAGCTCGTGAACACCTTTTTCAAATAAGTAGAAAGTGTTCCAAGCCAAAATCTTTAAAAAAAATTATATTTATAAGAGAAATTAATGTTAAGTATTCCAAAGCACATATTAAAATTTACTTGTTTTTAAAAGCTCAAACACCATAAGCCAGGGGTAGGCAATCCAGGTCCTCGAGGGCCGGTGTCTTGCAATTCCTAGATGTCTCCCTGGTCCAACACACTTGAATCCAATGGCTGACTCGCCTCCTAAGTGCAGTCAAGTTCTCCAGAGTCCTGCTAATGGCTTCATTATTTGACTCAGGTGTGTTGAAGTACAAGTAGAAGTAGAGACACATCTAAAAGCTGCAGGAGACCGGCCCTCGAAGCGTGGAGCTGGCCACCCCTGCCATAAGCAATGAAAATCAAGTCAAATCTCAAACAAATTTTTCCGTCTATGCTATTAGTAAACATTTAAATATAGAGATGATGTCCAGAATACTTTACAAATAACTGCAATACAATCTTCTGCATAACTTTTTTTTTCAAATAAATCAAACACAGTATGCACTGTTGTAAATTTGCATCAACTCACCACATCACACAGCATCGTTGGGCTCCTGACAAGATAAACCTGCCTCTGCGATGCTTCTGTGGTCAGGTTGGACAGTAACATCTGACCTCTTTGCAGCCAGGTGACCTTTCTGTGCAGCCGGACATGATGGAGGACCGAAGATGCCCTGCCTCTTCCTCATCAGCTTCTCTTTCTCCACTTGGCCTTCTTTATTTGCTATGCATCTAGCAACAATTCAACAACAAATTCTCGCCCCGCCTCTCTCTCTCTCTATTTTTTTTCTGTCATGACTATTCATTAACCAGACCGACAGGTCCAGACTTGCCCACTTAAAAATGGCATGAGACCAATATTCAAAATCAGAAAGGCACAAAACAGAGGTGGGGTCGGAAATCGGATTTTGAGACAAAGATTCATATAAGACACAAGATGAGCCAAGTCAAAATGAGCCGTGCAATTATTTCCCTGTATTAAAAAGAGATTTGCTATTTTTTTTTTTTTTTTTGAACATCAAGTTTAACAGGTGCCACCTGCCGAGCGATCACCTGCAAACTTAATGCGCTTGCTTGTTAATGCATCTGCACATAGACACACACTACCTAACAGATGGCTCTGCTGTGGAGGCACTGTGGGATTTCATGATCCCTCCCTCAGCACATAGACACACACACACACCTACATACACACACACTTACACAGACCACCCTACAGTCCCAACAGATCGCTCAGCAGAGAAACAGAGAGGGAAAAACCTGCTGAGGAGAGGGAAACTATATAGGTGGGAATTCTCCCTGAAAAGGAGGGAAAGGGGGAAAAAAACACCAAAAGAGGCTAAAACTGTTTATGTAAAAGAGCAATAAGAAGGAGAAGATATTCTTTTATTTATCCAAAAATAATCTTGCAAAAAAATGTATATCATATGCTTCTGAAAACCAAAGCAACTCATGTTCCTACCATGACATTGTCGTTCATGTCTCTGATGTGATAGACGTCCATGGAGACCTCCGCACAGTTTCGGTGATTCCCTGGCGTGCTCGTAGATGGGACCGGGTGCTCACCTCGCTGGCTGCTTGGGGGCAGCTCATAATAGGTGCTGTCTGGCTCTCTAGGTGGACAAAAATATCATGGATGTGAAATGTTTACGAATAAAGTACATTTATGAGAAATTCAACCTGTAGCCTATTTACTTTCAGAAAAACAGTAGGGCTATTTTTTTTTTTTTTTGTCTTTATTTTCTTCAAACATGTTTCATGACCTTAAACTATTTTAAAAATCTGTAATCAGCTTAGAAAATTTTGTGGCAAAAAAAAAAACAAAAAAAAAACACACATTTAAAATAAGTATTTTTGTTTTACATATCTTGAACCAGAGATTATGAAATGCCAACCAGGATCCTGGGTAAAAAAAAAAAAAAGCACTCTGGTTTTACTGGCAGCTATAGACGCCAGTATTTTTACTGTTCTTTCACAGTATCTATACCGTACTTGCATTGACGGTAACCTACTGTCAGGATTAATTATGTTACAGCTACTGTGTATTTACAGTAAACTTCTGGCGTCTATAGCTGTCAATATGTTACTGTAAATTTACAGGATTATTTCTTAGAGTGTAACAAATAGAAATCTTGAATAAGATACTAACGTTCTCTTTATCAGTCTGCTGTGATGTAAAGCCACGTATCACAAATCAATATCACAATAAGGAATGGAAAAACTATTTGAGGCACAATTGAAACATAACTCTTTTTTTCAACTGTTGATGTCACCTCTAAACAGAACGGTTCAGTGTGTCATTTCACCCACATCAAAACTATTATTAAAACACCACTGGATTGTTACAAAAAATTTGGCTTGCAATGTAATTTCTCAATATATATAAGTCGCATTCATGATACAAAGAGCATCTTTATATTAAAGTCTGGTCTATTATAGAAAGCTAATAATTTACCTTCACCATCAGAAAACTGTTTTTTTACCGCAACCTAAAGTGGAAGTAACATACATTTGTTTTTTGTTTTTTTATCTCATTGTATAATTTATAACATGCATTGAGATAAAAATGAAACAATAGATTGGTTTAATAAAAAGTATATAATCACAGAAAGCGGTCATCAGCAGACGTTGACTCACAGAGAGCTCCACAGATGCTCCAAGGTGCCGCCTTCCTCAACAACAGTGGACTGGGACATCTTAAAGGACGGGCAGTCTGATGAGGGGCAGATCGCTCTGCGAGCCACAGAGATATTTAATTAAGTTTGTATAATGAATGGTAAATATCTGATAATAACTGAGTAGAAATGCATGGATAATGCAGAAAAAAACAATTAACATTTAAATCTCCCAAACAACCACATGGTGTGAGGTTATTTTCTGGTAGAGCAATTTTGGTATAAATTATTTGCAAAGTAGAATCAAACTACTTAACTTATGTAGAGCTTTGAGACACAGGCAGTCAAAATATAAATGATTTATCCACATCAATCTTTGGTTCATCATAAACTTCTTAAAAGAGAAGTTTGTTGGCAAGCAAAGGGTATTACAAGTGCTATTGCCCACTGGGGCCTATTCACCTCTAAAGTCTGAAACTTGTTTTTGGAAATGAAATCAAGAACAACTAAACTGTGCTCTATTTCCATCATTGGTAATCTTTGCATGACTGCTCCTCTCACTGAGCCCCTCCTCCTGTGTCAAAGACTGAGACAAATATTGAGCTATTTTTGAGGGAAAACAACATTTCTTAATTTCGTTCACAAACCGAGGTTGAGCTTAAAAGAATCTTAAATCAGCTTGAAAAGTCAATCCAAATAGTGTGTTTAGATACTTAAAAAATATTGTGTGTTTTAAAAACAAAAGAAAAAAAAACTCTCACCAGTCACAAACTGAGTTTTTAAATGTCTATTCAGGACAGAATAATCTAGTTTAGGTTTGACCTGTTTACATAGTTCAGATTATCAAATACACACTATTTCTTAAAAAAAAAGAAAAAAAAGGTAACTGCTTAATTTAGTACCAATTGCAGTCTTGAATGAAAACACCTTCAGTGCAGCCTGCAATGATCAGTGGAGAACAATGACAGACACTCGATGTCAATAAGCAACAGAACATTTGCTTGATCAGCAAGTGCAAACTTTTTTTTTGCATACCGCCTCCTAAAGAAAGACACCCTGGGCAAAGAGCCATACCAAGAAAATCCAACTCTGTGCTGTCGTTAATTTTAACATGGCTGTAAAGTACCGTGAAGATGCATAGGTAACGTTTTTTTTTTATTATTATTATTTTTTAACCTCTGTAGTTGTTATACAAAGTTTTCGTCGAGTGAAATAGTGGAAGGGGTTCAACACACACGGGAACACAGAACGCCTTCATTCAGGTGTGATTGCACTTATGTAGTCCCAGCGAGGTGCCACAGGGCGCCACGGGGCCTGAGCGAGTCCAGACCTGCCTCACTCATCGCCTTTTCCATTCCGAGGGGAAGCCTATCCTCCTCAGTCTCTGCACCGCATCCTCCCGTCCTCTTTTAATATGACTCCATCACAGGCGCTCATGGCAGAAACACTATTGCGCAGCCGGACCACTCCAGGTGGTCCTGGACAGATTTGGATCACACTGAACAAACTACCTTCTGGTTTTTATTACTATTTCGCTCACTAATAAGTAGGCCTGTATCTCTTGAGTTGGAACGTCTTTCTACGTGTTTCGAGCGGCCTACATTTGAGAAAGTCGCAAAAAGCAGGCTTACCGCGATTGATGATGATTGGATGTCTTGACTTTTCGTTTAGTCTCCAGTTTGAATGTGCAGAAAATGATCGCAGTTAAGACAGGCTGACATCGTGATGGGCATATTTGTTTGTGAAAATGTATTAAGAGCCGCGCAGCAGCGTCTCTTAGGAACCTCTTAGGAATAGCTGTGATTGCGCAAGAAAAACTGGCTAAAGTACAGGATCTGAAAAATACACACAACAACAAATAGGCTAAATAAGTCTCAAATCTTAATGATTTAACAAATTCTCCGAATTGCTAAAAGTGACTGTCTGTACAGGACACAGTCGTCTTTACTTTGGTCTTCACCGAATCGATTGCAGATATGGAACTTCCTCGGTAAACATCCGCGAAGACTGCTGAACCAAAAATGATTTCAGCTTTTTTTTTTTTTTTTTTTGATCATCCCAAAAAAAAAAAAAAAAAAAAAAAAAAAAAAAAGCAAAAAAGGAGTAAA